TCTGGAGTTCGCAAGCAACATTGTAATGTTTAATGAAGGTGAACGCTAGTTTTACGCTTTTGTGAATAATCCAGGTGTTGTTGCAACGTTTACTTTTGATCTTCATCGGATCTGATAGGTCGACCTTCCAACCTTACTCTTAGAAAGAACGCTACATCAGCTACATCTCATCCGGTGTACGCGTCATGGGTAGGATATCGACACTTATATAGAGGGCTCGATTAGCTTTCTCGAACTTGAAACACCTGCGTCTCCGCCACAAATTTTGGTGGTTTATGTAGAGTCGAGTGTGTGCTGTAGCCATACTGTCTGTTTTTTGTATGGTGGAGATACTTGGCTGTTAGGGGAACAGGATAGAAACAGACTATCGGCATTCGAACAATGCTGTTTACACCACATTGCACGAGTCTGGCGGGACAACCAACCGGGCAAGCAATGATGAAGTAAGGCAGAGTTTTAGATCATAGGGGTCGCGCACTGGATCAATTGATTGATTTCCATAGATAGAGGTGGCTGGGATACCTATTGTACATCTCTCTGCGTGCAGTGTTTGTCGAGCCAGGTATGGAAACTCGGACCAGGAGACTTGGCCATCTATATCTCGGTAGACTTTCTGATTCCTCATTCTAGTTCTTCATCAAAATGAGTAACCGAAAGACAGCAACCACCAATGCCATATGAAAGTGCAAAATTAGTGGTTGTATGAGCCCAGCTGAATAGTCACCCTCGTGGGATATCGGTGACGTACTGTAGGAAACACCGTTAGCAGAATTCGTGATTATCTATTGTCACCGTTTTTGTCAAGTGATTTCCAGCGATCCGAGTGACCTACTCACGCCTGTTGCAGTTCCACACTAGCCATCTGTCACAGCCTACTGTTGGCATAGAACCAAGTAGCGTTTTCTGCCAGTTGGTGGGCTTAAGATCAAATGACCGTATCTTCTCAGACGAGATTCGCTTTTGACTGTCTCAATGGTAAAATGTGTGGAGACAGAGACACGGTGTTCGCACGACTCGAGAAGAGCACTATGTTTTTCGATTGCAAACTCAAAGAAACCCGCTAAGTCGGAAAATGCGTTGAAGTGCCAGCGAGAAGATGGACTCAAAACTCAACGGCGGTGAGGAGTAACAAAGGAAAATCTCTGACCGTGGTATTGATCTTTAATACCATTTGCGCCCTCATTTAATCAACGCCTTCCACTGTATTTCGCTAAAGTCTGCTTCTTTTGCTGTTTGCAATTTTTGTGACTTTTAAGGTCATGTCTGGTTAGCGGCACTGTGCAATACTAGTTATTATATTTGCGTCCACTCATACAACCTTTTCAGACATTAAACAAATGGCACTCCCCCCATGTCACTGTCTGGTGCAGTTTTTTGTTGCCAACGGCGAACTATCGTGTCAACTTTATCAGCGTTCAGCTGATCTGGTGAGTCTACAAATGCGATTGCTACTGGGTTTTTAATTCGTGCTGCAGTCAGTGTCCATCATTATTTAATCGATCTTTCACTTCATACCTCATCGTTTTTTCAGGGTCTGGGCGTCCCGTTTAACGTTGCGAGCTATTCACTGCTCACCTACATGATTGCTCATATGACTGGACTCAAACCGGGTGAATTTGTGCACACCATGGGTGATGCGCATATCTACTCAAATCATCAAGAAGCGTTGACCGAACAGGTGCGTTATACTATCCTCTACTGGGCGATTTTGGGCGGTGTAAATTCAGGCTGTCTGTTTTAGGTCAGGTAGTGTTGGCGTTCCCTGTAGACTGTTTGTTTCTCGTTTAACCTGTTTTATCTCCCCAGCATCAATTTTCAATTTATTTACTGGTAAATGTTACAAATATTCAAGGATGAGCGCGTTTTACCGCTGCTTACTGGTCGTTCTCACGGATTCATGTTTCTCGGTGTTCACCGAATAAGGTATACATGTATAGCGACAACAGTAGACACTCGTATATACTCACAGTCCTGTCAGAGCCCACACTATGCATTAAAACCGACATTGAGTTACATCCGCATCATTGGCTCGGCTGTCGTAAGACGATATAAAGAGTATTTTTGGTTTGTAGTGCTGCTCAGTGGATCTTACTAACTAATAGAAAATGAGTTCGTCATTCAAATTAATCTGTGAATGATTGAGGTGCCATCCATTCGATCAGGTGATCTAGATCGGGAAGTAATTAAAAGTCATACGTTAAAAATCATCTCGGTTGGATCGCATCATCTATAGAAATCACTAGAACACAATATGGTCAATTAACTTAATTTCGGTTACTGTTACAAGACCTAATGGAATAAATTTCACCGTAGACTGTTCCTACTGCCCTCGAAACGTGTTATGAATAGCGAAGCCGCAGTTTGCTGGGGAACTTTGTATGCCACAACACCAATCCTGACTTGATTTGTATACCTGCAAACTTATATCCTGGCTAGGAAAATAAAGCCTCCAATGGAGTAAAGCTCTATTTGAGTAAAGTATGAGCTCACGTGTTGTGAAACTGTGAAGCGCAGCGTCAGTAATTGCTCTTGGTATATGAGTACACACGATCTGTATGTACATTTATGTCGTATGTACTCAAACTAAAGTCAATTGCTTGCGTTTTGTTTCGCGAGTCATTGCCGGTCGATGGAATCACGCATTCGGTTTCTCACTTGAGCTGATCGATTCAGAGACGATGCATTTAACTTGACCATCGCCCTTTACACTAGTCTGTTGCAGGTGAAAGGAGGAAATCCACAGGTCAGGGAAACAGCCAGTTTGCCACATGTTATTGTTTTTGTGATTGATTGAATCTCTCTCTCTCTCTCCACGCGTGCGCTACGCTTCCGCAGATCAAAAGAGTTCCGCGACCGTTCCCGAAACTGCGTATTTTACGAAATGTGGATGACATCAAGGACTTCAAATTTGAAGATTTCGAACTGATTGGCTATAAACCGTACCCGAAATTACCCATGGAAATGGCCGTCTAAATCTTCTTGACAAGGATCTATTTGCCAATCATTCGATATAGAGTTCTATATGTGTCCACCTGGATAGCATTTTTCATTTACGTGTGCTTCTTATCGACCATTTGAATCCAGACAGAGTTTGTATTTTTATTAAAAATTACTATATTATGGTATAAAGTGAACTTATTAATAATGTAATGTGTTGTACTGTCTTTTAAAGGGTGCAGTGGAGTACTACACTGGATTTCGTGATAAATTTTGTTACATAAGATACAAACCGAAAAGTTAGAACGCTCTCTCTATAAGGTGATTTTCGCCTTGTCGGATTTCGTTAGCAGTGCGAATTCATTTATCTAGCTGAGAATGGAATTCGGGAGTTCACAATTGAAGCGCAGGTATACTATCCGTTTGACTACTGAATAGTCTGAAGTCGCGAGAAATGCATTTCTGTCAAAATTTTGATACGGATGCTTTAATGCATTTCGACTAACCGCTTTTGACATAATAAACCAGTCCGTCAACATTTTTCACGTAGTCGTCTGACCAATAGTAGAAAGAGTATCATACCTATTTCAAGCAGTCCCACTGAAGGTGAAAAGGAGAGGCAGACAAATTCGTCGATGGCCCGGAAGTTGTTGGCATCTTATCTTACTGAATGGGTTATCCAATAGGATTAGCACCCCGGATCTGGTAGACCATTTTATCCCATGGGGCATATTCCATCCCTATGGTCTCCATGTTTTATCTCATTCTCCTGTGTGCCTCCAAGACGGCGAAACATGTATACCTTAACCTGATGGGCCTTATGTGGTTTGTCACTCCGAAGTGGAGGTTACCGGTTTCCATGACTGAACAGCAGGTCTTCATATCTATGGAGCTTCCCCCAACTGATAGTTCATCACACTAAGCTGTGTAATAAAAAAACAGCGGTCAGATCATTTAAGTCGGTTTAAGAGTGACAGAAGCTTAAAATTCTTGACTTAATAGAGTGCGATACGCGAATGCAATGCTCCTTATTGTTATCATACATCATATTCTTCGGAGTTCAGACAGTTTTCCAAGAAAACCAATGTACGATGGCCTTAATAACAACATAAAAGTCCATGCTTTTTCTACTGCTTGGGATGCTGCTCAGACCACTCAGCTGGAGCCCAAGTCTGACCCGCGAATGGTGTGGCGTTTAGAAACCACAATTCACTGAGGCCCAATGTCCAGTTCATCAAATTCTAAGCCTTTTGAACGGGATCAAACGTCCAAAATGGCAAATACAGCTCGAAGCCAAACAGAGCCAGTGAGCTTTGCTACAATCAAGAAGTTATATTTGCGGTTTGTACGCCTCTACTCTGGCGGTTTGGAATCCGGGTTTATAACCAACTGCTCTAGATAAATTACCAGTAATTTATTNTTTATTGACCCGTTATACCCCTGAATTTCGGATATCGTCCTCACTTTGAGAGGACGTGAAGGCCGTGAGTTGCGATTTGATCAATGCATCCGTGACTGGTACGGAAACCGGCCGGCTTTCCACTTTTCTTCACTTCACGCGTATTCCGCGACCCGAGAAGAATGACAGATTCGGTGCTGTTGGGATCAGACTTACACTCTTGGGTTGACGCCAACACCTCGCGACTCTTCAAGATGCGGGATGCAGTTGATTCGCCTGGTCACGAGGGCATCTGATCAGTGCCCCAAACAGAGATTCCCTAATAAGCTTCCTTTCGGCCTCTTCAATTCAAGCCGTTTACAGGTCTTCGGAATCTGGGCTTTCTGGTATTCTACGCCTTGAATATCCTCGCAAGTTTTGCCTCAGAATGTGAATCCGTTAAAGATTGACTGCTGTGTATCCAATCATAATGACTTGGCGTAAATCGAGATGACAGGAAGCTACGCCCCAGAGTAAGACTAAGAAAGTCAGTAGAATGCAGAGCATTCTTGATAAGCTACCACTTCTGATTGGTATTATGTAGGTGGCTGCTGCTTTTAATTCTTCACTTATTGTATTTCAAAAAGTGGCTAAGTAAACTGGCTGGAACTGTTTGTCTTAGTCTTCACATCGCTTCATGCGTTTGGAGCACCCACAAGCGTATATGGGTGGTCTAACGCTCTCGAATACGCGGTCGGATACGACTGGTTGGCAATTTTTGGCTTATAGTAATATGGTCGGTCTGGGCCGGTCGCTGACTGTCAGAGTGCGAAAGCTAAGCAGTGTAGCGGAAATTTTGTTGTCTGAAGTTCCTATTGAAGTGAAACTACTGGTGTTCGGAACAAAGAACCAACTACTGTTCCTCGTTTTCCGAACAATAGGAAGCTAGATCAAATACACCTCGTTCGAAGATAGCTGACGCACTCTGGTCTTCATGCCTGATAAAATTATACTATGGGCACAGCTTTATATATGCGGCTGCTTATCTTTCCATCAAAGCTATTGTAAATTCCAAAACGACTTGTTCTGGCTCGATCGTAGCCCGAGTGTAATCGACTATTCTACAATCGTTCTGTATAGCGTCAATGAGACCGTTGAGCAACGCGTAGCGAAATGCGAACCCCGAAGTCAGAACGATATTGATCCGCAATGCTTACGGTACTGTTTATTGCATTAGGCGAGTTAAAGAACACGTACCTCAACAATGCGACTCAGTCGCTATGCAGCCAAAAAGGTGAGTTCAAACAAATGGGTAGAGACCTGATATAAAGACAAGGAAATAATAAGAGGGAACATAAATACTTGTTAGGTCAGGCAAGGGATTCTGTTCACTTACCTGAACAGCCAAGATAGATTCAAACAGATCGACAATGATCTGTTTGCCACGGGGAGAAATTCTGTTCAAACGTGAACAGCCAGTGATCGAAGTCAGGTATGCACTCGCAAAGAGCAAGACAACGAATGAGGCCATAGGGCCAGTGACGGGGCATATAGCGAGGGACTGGGGCGGTTATGGATCGGGGCAATGACACCAAGGCCACAGTGCGCAGGACAATGTCACGGGTGGGATCGATAGGTAGACACAAGGTCATTGGACACGAGAATCCGACATCAAGCAACCATAGGCAATGACCAACACAAGGGATCACGCGATGATGAAGGTCAAATCAGGAGTGACTAAAGAGAACGTGTTCGCACAGGGTCGATAAGGGGTAATTGGGAAGGGGAACAACAGTGGTCACGCCTCGGACCGAGCAGAGGGATTTTCTTCACTCTGGTTTCTACAGCTACTATTGACTGTATATGGGCTGCAGTCCGAGCGTGTGCAAGCGAGAACGGCGAACAAGATTTGTTTGTGAAGATAATGACTGCTTACAACCCGAAACTATAAATCATTTATCACGGGTTGATTCTAGCAGCGAGAGTCTCGCTCTGTCAGTCACACAAACGTCACGTAAACCAGAAGCCTCAGCGTCGTCAAACAGACGTAAGTGAAATTTCGTGGAATGGTCTAGGGTGGGACCAGTCCGATGATAGAGCTCGAGTCCTGAATGCAAGTCTCTTGGATGTAGCACACATAGATAGCTATTATGTTGAACGTATGCGCTAGACATATTGTCATAAACGCATCCGAATTCGTATGTGAAATACGGCAAATTAGAATGAGTCTCTGGAGGAACAACAGCATCTACAGGAGGAGGGTTTGAAACTTCACAGGAATCAATCCCAATGTTTATAATCCGGGCGATGTGGATCTCTACTGCCGCTTCACCGCAGGTGATCCTTATTTTGCAGCCTATTTGGGGTCGTCCTCAATAAAGCACCCACCTCAGTTTATCTTTTTTTTCTGATTGTGGCTTGTACGCAAGTACAGGCGTGGAGACCTCGCTGGCCTCGCTACCAACAAGGGTTCGGCAATATGCTGGGCTTATTCCCACTCACTAAATGAAGTGGTGCTCTTTGCGAAATGCAATAGTAGTGAGATTTAATAAATGGTTTCCTAAGGTAAATCCAGAATTGAAAAAGTGGACCCTAACTAAGTTGCGAGTTTCGACTGTGTACAAAGTTGACCAAAACATTTTAGCCCCCTTCACTCACATTTCCCCGCATACATGCACTTTTATACTCCATGACGAAACTAGGTCTGGTTAGAACGATCGAATACATGGGATGATAAGTTATACCAAATTTCCAAAAGAATCTATGCAATACGTGCCAATTCGAGCAGAATTTGCGGAAAGAAGGGCCTCTCAGGGTGGCTAAAAGTTTAGAATTCTCTCGACTCAGTCACATAAAAATTGATCAATTCACCGTTCTGATTGATGATCTCAATACATTTCGCCTAATTACTTGCAAGACCCGTGGTTCTCCCTTGGTGAAAATTTACTCATTTTCGAGTAGTTGTTAATTCATTTTTAACTAGCAATTGAAATCTACTCAATCATGTTCATTGCACCCCCCTGATAGCACAGAATAATAGAGAACAGTTTTGGTGTGTGAGTAACGAATATCAACATCATCAGGTTGAAATATGGAGTACATTGACCATCTGCCAATCAGTAATGGAAACAATGTATTTCAACGCAAGAATACACAGCAGGATCTTTTATCCTCTCAAATATGAATACCTCACTTCTGCTGATGCAGAGAGCTTCCCGAAGCATAAATTTGTGCGAAAGAGTTTTCGTTCTTTTATGATGCTGCTAATGCTTTCAAGCATCCCACCAATCAAATTGAAATTTATGATAATTGCGCAGATGGATGGCGCCTCTGCTTTCTTATTCATGCTACGCATAGTTCGGTCCGTGATAGGCTTTGTCTATATGCCGTGAGGTGAGAGCAATACATTTGATTTTTTGCACTTCCTTCCCGAAACAACGTTGAGCATAGTTTGTAACTTTTGTTTCAAAACACGGATTCGAAGATTCCAACGTTAGCACGATTGGAGTCTACATGAATTCATTGACATCATTCCGATTCCGTCAGATTTAGGGACGATGCACCTGTTTCTAGGGTAAAAATGCTTGTCATATTCTGGACGCAGTAGTGCAATCTTTGTTGCTTCTTTGAATTGTCTGTTGATTTCATGTCAGCTGAT